ATTGGCAATAGCGTCGATATTTTAAAAAATTATGATTTAAAAAGTAGACATTCATCCAGAACATATATACTTGTAAAGGACAGAGAACAAGCAGACGCTTATCCTAGAGTTTTGTTTGTGGCATTAGCTACTAAAAGCAAACCCATGGAGGTTTTTGCAATAACAAAGGGACTTTAAGTATTAATGGAAATTTTGAAAAATTAAAAATTAAATATAGTCAGTTTGTTCTCTCAGTATTCAATTCTTGGATTTCAAACTGCACTTTAAAATATCTCTGTATATAAAACAGTTTGTGCTGACTATTATAAGTAATGTTTTTGGACAATTTTCATTACGTGTTCATTAAAGTTTCTTTTTTCAACAACTTCATAAGTTAGTAATATTAGCAGAGGTTTTCGAAAAAAGAAATATATATTACTTTAAATAAATTCTAGAGTGCCCATTAGGGACTATTAGAGTAAAAACCAATATGTATATAATAACTAGGGTTTATGATAGTATTATAAGCAGATATATTTGACTGGCACAAATAAATAATAAATAAATAAATAAATAAATATAATAGTAATAAATAACAAGAAAGGGATGCTAAAGTCGAGCAGGCTCAACTGTTAAATACCCTGTACCACCCCACAAAAAATAAATAAATTTAATTTAATTAATTAACTAAATAATTAAATAATTAACTAAAATCGTCCTTTCTCGGGATCAGGAGATCAGGCTCAACTCTTAAATACCCTGTACCACCCCACAAAAAATAAATAAATTTAATTTAATTAATTAACTAAATAATTAAATAATTAACTAAAATCGTCCTTTCTCGGGATCAGGAGAATCTGTATACCAAGTTTGGTTATTCTAGCTCTTATACTTTCTGAGATCCTTGCGTTCATACAGACAGACGGACAGACAGACGGACAGACAGACGGACAGACAGTCTGACAGACAGACAGACGGACATGACTATATCGACTCGGCTTGTCATGCTGATCAAGAATATATATACTTTGTGGGGTCTGCCACGCCTCCTTCTGTGTGTTCCATGTACACTCGCACAAAACTAATATACCCTTGTACCCTTTGGGTACAGGGTATAAAAAGTTTGTCCCTACTCACTGACTGACTGATTGGTAATCAACCCATTGTTCTACCAGAAGTTTCCAAACTTAAGCTTTCTTTTATGCTTTAAATATGATGCCCTTGGTGTATTTACTGATGTCTTTACTGAAATGTTTTGCACTTGCCGTTTATTTGTGAATATTTAATATTCCAATAGTCTAATAATTCGTTTTTGCGCAACTTAATGTTAATTGACAACAAATTCGTGACTTAGTTTGCATTCTATTTTATTTTTCAAGTGTACCCCTGTTTGTGGGATATGCTGACACCTTTCTGGGATGCCACGCCCACGTGATGAGAAGGCATGTTGCATGTTTGTATGCATATGTGTGTGTGCGTGTATGAATGCTTGTTTGTTGTTATAGACTGCGGCATAACACGCGTGTGGCATGTGGCATATGGCAAGGTTTCTGGTTGATTGAATTGTGCGCAACGCATATGGCTGAAACAATTTGATAGCAAATGCCGCCATTAATGCGTAGACGGAAGCATTGTTTAGAGTTTTCAAATTCAATTTCAGAAATTAGCAGCAAATTCGATTGAATGAACCGCGATACGTTCCCTGGATATTGTCAATAAGATATTTGTGTTATAAATAAGTCCAACGCATGCAGCCCCTTTAAAGGTGATAATGGATTTGGCTTTTCTCCATTCAGTTTATTCCTGTCTGTTTTTTAATAAAAATCATTTTAGCACCTGATTTGCTGCACTGATTAAGAATAAACACCTGATTCAATAAAAATTCTCAATTTGTTTAACAAACAATTAACGTTTATTTAAGTGCCATTTCTCTGGCTTTTATAGATTGTGCAATAATAAGATTTTGGGAAACTAAAGTTGGTGTTAAATTCTTTCTAAACTCTGCAAAAAGTTGGGTACAATTTAGTCGATACCTTCAATTTTATATTAAATAACCTTCGTTGCCGATGTTGATTCGACGAACCCCAAAAGAATTTTATTTGAACTCAAGCGTTGAAAATTAAGCCTTAGAGTGCCAGTTATATGTCGAAGGAGGCAGAACTGGATTTTAAAAGCTAATGTGGAAACATTATAGTTACTTGTTTATGTGTAAATAATATAAATAATTCTGAGACCTCATTATATGGTTTGCAACATATTGTCTATACATTCTTGTGTAGGGCAGGAAATAAACAACACTAGATCATCCGTCAATGGTTCTTAACAGGCGCAGGCCCACCATCGTCTTATTGCCAGTTTTTTTTTGTCTTTTCGTTTTGCCATTTCGTTATTGAGGCAGTTTCTCCGACACCATATAGTATATATACTTATATTTTTAAGCAGCGAGACGAGACGAGTCCATACAGCCATGTCTGTCTGGATGACCGCCTGGATTTCAAAGATGGTTGAGCCCACATTCAGCAAACTTGGTACGCTGATACTCCTAATATTTTTGTTCTTGTGATACAGACGAATGTAACTCTGTGTTTGGCTACAGAGTATTTCACTGTCGGGCTGGCTTGAATAATACTTTTTCTAATGGGTGTTTCTATTATCAAGATGTATTCACAGTTCTTTATTTTCCATTTAACTTTATCTTAAAGATTTGGCTGGATACCAAAACAGCCTGAACTTAAGCCAGCAAACAAACAGATGTGTATATATATGCCAAGAAGATGTTAATCCTTAATTAATACTTAATACTTTTTACAATTAAAGCTCGATAGTATCGATACGTAGAGCGTCTTCATCTATAATTTAGCAGCCCTAATGGATGTTAAGAAGAACTGGCTCTTCTTTACTTTCCTTTGCACTTTAATCAGCAAACTTTTAACAGGCTACTAAAAAATTGAAACCAGAAAGCAAACAAAAGTACTTATCTATGCCAAGTGGGGGTAGTCCTTTATTGCAAACAACAGCTGATTCCATTAGCTGTGTTACAAACCCACATAATCAGCAGATGAAACTGCAACTGAAACGCAAACTATCTTCAGTCTGCCATTATCATAATGACTTTTTCACAAACTACGTGACATGGAAAACTTTATCGTCAAAAAATGTTGCCATAAACATAATTAGCAAAAAGTGTGATGAGCAGCTTGTGAAGCTTCTAGATGGATTGGCTGGATGGTGGGGCCTCCGAAGCGGTCATGGCTGGTGCAGCGAGGAGAGGCAGTGGAGAGGAACAACATTGTTGAACCAACGCTTCGGCAAATTCGATTCAAAGCACAACGGAAGTCAATTTGAATGCTTTGTTGACTGCATGGGTGGCTGGGTGGTCGGGTGGCTGGGTGGTTGGGTGGCTGGATGGCTGATTGGTCGAGTGGTCGGTTGGCTTTGGGGTGTCAGTTACCGTGCGAACTGTGCGAGCAGCACGTTTTGAATTAAAGTTTGCCGTTTGTTGCATGTTGCGAAGCCGAAGCCGAAGCCTCAGCGCCAAGTTTTAATGCAAATCGAAATAATAATAGAAAATATGGCAGATTATAGCACAGAAAGTGCACAGCAGCTGGCAATTGTTCAAATTACAAAGGCATATCATTCAACAATGCACAGCAATGACACCCAAGCGGATACGCTAATGGGCCATTTTATTTCATTCATTTTGAGTTTTTTTTTCCAGTAGCCTGCCAGCACTATTAAAATGTATTGACTGCTCAAGAGACCAGGCTCTTACAGTTATAAGAAAATTTCTCGTAAAATACATATATTTTTAATCCGACAAAGCTGAAACTCGTTTCATACGTCAGTGTAGGAATATTTAAAATGCTTATGACTTGACGAGTCGGCGGGTTGTTGAACTCATTCTTGGATAAGCTGATTCAGTTTGTCACTTCCTATAGTCCAGGAACAAAAGCCTAATGCTAATATCATCCACAAATGCTAATCATAGGCTGGGTAGTAGAAAAGTTTTTAAGTAAAAGCTCTTTTGTTTACGTTGGCCAGCGATGCTTGAGTTATCTTCAGGGAAACCATAATACGAGCAAACGATAAAATAGGATAATATTGGAGAAAGACATGGAAAAGCTTTGTTGACAATCAATAAACCAGAAGAAGACAACTTTAGCTGCAATGTTTAAAGAATCTGCGGCTTGTTTTAAGCTCTCGGAAACCATACTACAGGGATTACATTAATAAAACCTATATAACTGGAGCATTGAATGTAGAATAGCGAAACCTTTGTTGTCAATCAAAAAACCAGAAGAAGATACCCTGCTCTTCAATGTCTACGAAACCTTAAGCTCTTTAGTCTTATTCTAACATATTCCGTCAGCAAATATAGCCAAACAATTCGTTATCAAACCAAATTTATTTCAAATCAAATCCGTATTGAAACTTGGATTGAGTTCGTCTTATTTTTAGGTCAGAACTAAAAAATTATCATACAAGTATATATATGTATATATATTTCATTAAATAGAGGGTCTCTCTTATCTTATTTAGATGTAATGTCGCATTTGAAAAAAAAAAACAATCATCAAAAACAACACTTTGTGGGAATGTAATTTATATTTCAGAATGAAACTTTTCCGTTCATCCGACTTTTCAAAGTACTACTATTAGCCCCTCCTAAGGCGTGTGGAAGATTACAAGTCCGCATTGAAATATAAAACACTCTACATATACTACTTGTTTTATTGCGTCATTAAAAAATAGGTGTTTTCCATGAAGTCCAATAGGTTTTCCCTTCAAACGCACTCAACAGAATATTGATAATTGTTGATGATAGGACGGCCATACATTTTTCTTTTTAAATAAGATCGTTTCGATAGAACTCTGTTTGAATTTGTATAAACAAACAGAAAACCCCTAAGCGAATTCACCAAAGAGTATAGTTTTAGTAATTTTCTTTCTAAGTAAGTAATTCAGACTTAACAATTTACATTGTTCTTACTGGCTTACTGAGAAATGTTCTAATCTTGCAGCCACATAATCTGGCCTTCCTATCTCATAGTGTGGCAAACACAATTGGCAGAAATTGGAGCACTCTTATCTTATCTAGGTAAGTACACAATAAAAACATTATTTTACCATTTATATGCGATGTTTGCAATTCTGGGTAACTTCGTTGCGAGCTCAAATTCTTAGAAAATTGCAAGTACTTACGTTTCTAGTAACTTAGTAAAAGAACTATAAATAAGCCACTAGAGCAGATGACAGACTCACAAATGTTGCAGGCCTAATTTCGTTTCCGGACTTTACACAATAAAATTAGATAAACATTCGGCGACATTCCATAGCATTCGCTATTCTACTACTCGATAAATTCACTTCCATTCTTGTAAACTTTAATCGAGAAAAAACATATATGATACTTTATTCCCTTATGGGACACGTTTTGGAAACCCATTTCTCTGTAATGTGTTTCGAAGGTACTAGACGAATATCTATTCATACAGTCCCAAATTCAATCAATTGCTGGGTACTACTACCAACGTGTTGATTAACCCATTATAAGAGTAGTTTATAAAATTAGAAGAAGGGCAACAATTTGGAATACGATTAAATTCCATTCGATATCTACTATTCGCTAAATTCACTTTCATTCTCGTAAACTTTAATCGATTCTTTATTCTCCTACGTGTTGGGAACTTATTTCTCTGTAGTGTGCTTCGAAGCTAGTGACATAGACGAATATCTAATCATACATTCCCAAACTGAATCAATCGCTGGGTACTACTGCCAACGTGTTAATTAGCCCATCATTAGTTCTATATCTGAGCCCAAAGTAGGTCTAAAGACAACTCAATTGTCAAATATGAAGCATGTTGAGGCTCACTAATATAAAGTCGTTGCCTGGTTTTAGGCTTTCGGCTGCCTGGCGGCTCTAGCAATACAATTAATCTTGCCAGCACTTTAACAACAGCACGCCGTGGGCAATAGAAACAACAACAACAACAACAACAGCAACTACAATAGCAACTAGCATGTTGTAATTAATATGCAAATGACCATTTCAAGACCCAGACATGAAGTAAAAGCACGTTACTCACGCAGCAAGTGGAGCTAAAGTGGGGCAGGGCTGGATAGGGTAGTAGATGAGGAACTCAGACAAAGCGCAGCGGCGACGTCAAAAGCATTTGCACAAATCGTTGGTTAAACTGTGCAAAAGAAATACCAAACAGTCAGCTAATTGTTATGCAAAAGGCAGGCTATGCCCAGATACTGTCTGCTGGCTCCGGTGGCTGCTTTTGAAGTGCGAATATGCTCTGTCGAAAAGGGTATTATGCCATTTCTATCAAAGTGGAAGCTATGCTGGTTACTACCTAAACAGTTCTTTAAAGTATTATTAATTGCTAGGAATCTATACTTGCTAGAAGCTATGCTGAAAGTATTATTAATTGATAGGAATCTTTGTTAATAGGCAACACTTTATTTACTGTAGTATTTATTTGCATTTGATTAAAAATTGAATAAAAAGAGATACCTTTGGAGCACTTTTGTTGTTATTTTGCCATTTTCTAGTTCCATTTACTTATGGGGAAAGGAAATTTTGACCCCTAAAGCGAGGGGAAAACGGGTAACAACGGGTAACATCCTAACGGTAAGATATAGGAAGCTAGCAAAGGCGAGTACTAAATTCTATTTCGTAGGGGCAGGGGGCTTCAGATTCGTAAGCAAATTCTTTATTTTTTAAGCCATAGACTTGTAACATATTTTGTATTCAGTCGCAGAAAAGGTTCCCTTAAGTTATAAACTTTTAAATCCAAGCAAATGATTCCATTATTGAGTTTTGGCAAATTTAACAGTTTGGGTGTCGGAAACAGACTCTTCCTGTTTTTTTAATGCAAGTTGCACTCTTCCTCTTTTATTATTATACTGCTTTATTTATGTATTTTTAGTTAACAATGCGACAAGAAAAAATCGAATAAATTAATGCACTAGTCACAAAACGAACAATTTTCTTACGTTTTACCTTCTTATACGTTTTTATTTATACATAAAATTAAAGTTTTTTGGTTCTTTTCATTATCGTTATAACTACTGCCTACTGAATGTAAATATATTAGTGCTAGTATTGTGCTTTTTACTTTATTTTCATTGAGGTATTCTCTTGAGAATGCGCTTGAATTTTAGTTCTAAAATGCTGATTGTTTTTAATGTAATACAATATGTTGACAGTTTCAAGTTTGGAAAGGGCATTTGAAATTCTGTACCAAATATTTCTACATTTTGTTGTTGTTGCTGTTGTTATTGTGTTTAAACTCAATTGAACTTTGCTGCAGTTCTCTACTTACGAGTATGGAGTATGCTCTGTTTTGCTAAATAGCCGAGGTATACGCTCTTGGCAAATTTAATTAAAATTTTGCTCCGCTTGGTTGCATTTTGTCCATTGGCGGCTGCACGTGCGACTGTTTGCCATTTCTGGCTGACAGCCAAATGGTAGAGGCAATCGATGCAGTTGGCCAAATGATTTTATTACCCTCGAATGCGAAAGAATAGAGCAGGATGAGCAGAAGGCTGGCAGAGAGCTGCGTTGAGATAAGATGAGTGGCAGGCAAGGCAGACAAGGCAGACGAGACGGGACGAGATGAGACGAGCTGCTCAAAATTGACAAAAGCTCCGGACTGTGGCCGACAAGCGGCGCCTAGGCCTCTCATGTCCATGTCATCATACAAGGCCAGTCGAAAGCAACCACAAGTGCACTCAGCAGCACACTCATGCATTCGCAGATCCTTATATAAGCAGATGTGTGTGTGTGTGTCGTGTGTGTGTGTGTGAGTGCGTGTGCCTTTGGCAAGGCTCGCAGCGAAGCTTGAGGTTAAGGCTGCAGCTCTAAAGCGCCTGCTCAGCAACCTTTTAAATGAATTAGTGGGAAATGCATTATAATTTTCCAAGCTGCAGCCATTTTAGTTTCTTGATTACTTGAAAGCCTTTTCACTACCTTTTCACCGCGTACGTACGAGTACGTATCACAAAATCAATAGCCTGCGGCCATTTACTATTGATAGATTGATAGTCGTAATTGAATATTATCCGCAATTTCTTGGGCTTCGTATTGTCGTCGCTGCGTTGTGTTTTATTGCGAGGTAAAAAGCTTTCTCAGAACAAAGCTAATAATAATAGCAACTGAGCTTCGCGTTAGATAACAAAACCAATTTTCTAGTTCTTGTTACATACTTTATTTAATATAACAAATTCAACAGCTGTGCAAATCTAAAGAGAATTTAATGCTGGGATAAGACTATCAGTGAGCTTTCGTACTTTGCAATACTTTGCACTTCTTCTCTACGATTTTGAAAATTGTGTGAAATTAGAACAAAACCAAAAGACTTTTAATACTTAAATATCAAGTAAGCATTTATACAGACAAAAAAAGAAAGGCTTTAAGGACTTTTTTTCATAACGAATTTAAATATTTTGATTACAAGAGCTTAAGACTCTTGACTTCTCGGCTCAGCTTCATCCAATAGCACTGAAATTTTTACGGGATGTCCATCAAATATTTACCCAACTAAATGAGTAACGCATTAGGAATATTACTTCGGGACACACCTTCTAACTCACACGAAGGTCAAAGCCAAAAAGGTCGTATTAAGTTAAAAAGTATAAAGCAATAAATTATAATTAAGCTAAAAACAATTCGAAACCATTGTATACCGTCCAAGGCTTTCCCTCTTTTATTTTTAATCCAAAAAGTTTTAAAACGCTCGCAGCTTACCTGCTTGGAGTTGAATGCCAACTTTTCCAGCTCATGCTGATTTAAACAACTTCATTGGGCGCTAAACCAAATGAGATATGCAAATGAATGCCAATCAGATTAGTTCTTTTTTTTTTAGAAAATAGTCTCTGGATAAAAAGCCGTGGCTCCTGCTGCCTCTTTTTTATCTTTCCCACTCCTTGACACGCTTCTAAATAAGAGAGCAGGCTCATAAATACAAATTGCAGCCATATAGTGTAGTGTGTTCCCATATGTCTAACCAAACTTTCAATGTGGCTCGTTTCTACTTTGTTGGCTGCTGCCATTTTTGAAACTCATTAAAAGTTTTCTGGAAAAGTCTCAAGCGGTGACACATGTGTGGGCAGTGAGGCATTCAGTCAACTAAGGATACATTTCTTTTGCGCCCCGGCATATGCTACACTAATTTGCTTTCGAGTTAACCCAAACAGACAATATGTCAGCAAATTTAAAATGCGCTAGAAAAACAAAGAAGCAGAAATACGTGAAAGAAAGATGCTGGAAACTGCATAGCAACCAGCCTGGCAAGCAGAACAAAAACAAAAAACACACGAAAAAATAAGAGGAAAATGAAAATAAATGTGCATGTGTAATTTATGTTGCCTTTTGTTTCCTGCCCTGCTGACGCTTCAGAGTACGCTGGCAGAGAATGAAGAGAGTGTCGGCCAACTGGGCGACAAAAAATCGTTAAGAAAACGCAACGAGTAAAGTGAAAAAGTTTTCTGCAGTCGCAGCACTCGTGTTGTTATTGCTATTGTTGTTGTTTTTGTTGTTGTTGGTGTCTTAATTTATGCCCATGAGACGGCCGCAGACATATTTTTGTGTAGGCAGGCAGAGCTGCGGCGGAGCTCACGGGAAGGCAGTAAAGCTGCATGGAAAAGTGCTTAAAAGAATTAGTATGCAAAGTCCTTGACCAAAATTGCAATATCTAGCTGCTTGGCTGCGTCGCTAAAACTGTGTGTGTGTGTGTGTGCGTGTGCTTTCACTTATTCAGGAAATGCTGCCAAAATATGCCTTAAAAGTACTGAAAAATACCCAAAAATACTTGTATATGGCAAGTAAGACTAAATTGAAAAGCGCAGGGACACTTTATAAGCAAATGGAAAATAATAAAATGGAAAGTTTCTTATTTGCTGGTCTTTTTTACTCCAGATACATAAAACCCTTATTTATGTACATATTTGATATTTCTACGAATGTGTGAACAAAATATCGTTTGATTTGCAATTGATATTAATATTAGGAGACAAATAGTTTCGTATAACTTATGCTTACAAAATCTCAGAAATGTGTAAGAACGATTTTTTTTAGGATTAATTTTA